CCCAGCATTTCATAGCCCCAATCTTCCTAACAGGCGTTCTTACCCCCATGCCCAGGATCCTCTTCAAGAGTGGTGGAGTGGATGAATCATCCCTCTTCCCCTTGTGGCAGAGGACACAGCTGATCCTGTGCCCTGGAGGCCAAGCATGTCACCCACTTGGTGGGGGCGGGTATTGCAGGAGACATCTATTTGGAAACTCAATTTGGGGTCCACATGCCAGACAGATGGTGCTGAGGAGAAACTGCTGGAGCAGCGGAACAGCCTAATGCATCTCAGTAGTACTGCTGGGTGGAAAAAGGGGTGTTTCTTGTCTTGGGCTGCCCCCAGACAGACTGCCAGGCCCCTTCCCCATGCCCAGGTTCCCAGTGGTCCGTACACACAAGAACGCTGGCAAGGCAGCTCTCTTGCATCTGCTAGCACCACACAGGACAGATTCCCAGGAGTTTGCCACAGCTGCTGACTGATGCACAGATGAATTTGCTGGGTCGGTTGTGTGATTCCTATGTGAAACGAGGCTGAGACCCAAAGTCCCAAGGCAAACACTGGGCAGGCACTGCTGCTAGAAGCCCTCTTTCCCACTGCTCTGGTGACCTCGCCTCCTTGCTTCAGAGCACCCCTTAAAGCTGGGGGATAGCCCAGGAATAAAAGCCATTATGGTTCTCTGGAGGTACTGTTATTTGAGATTGCTTGGCCAATAGTACTTAGCCTGTGTGCTCATGTGTGCAGGGGCATGTCTTTCTGGTCACACAAGTTAGCCTGAGACAGATTCAGTTCCTCTTTGGCTTCTTGGCAAGCAGCAGCAGCAGTGTGAGGCCATAGGAGAGGGGAGGGATGCTCTTGCAGCAAGTCCAGAGCAGGCAGAGCATGGAGAAGCTCTCAGTCTCCACAGCCGCCAGGATGTAGGTGGTGATGAGCTGCATAAAGACCCAGGTTATGCCTCAGTAGAGGACCTTCATACCCTGGGAGGAGGGCAGGATGCTTAGGAAGGAATGGATGTGGTAGTCAGCCTCCACCATGACAGCCCAACAACACGAAACCAAGGACCTGCTTGGCCTGGGGGCTGCACCACCAGGCGGAGAAGGCAAAAGTGGCTGGGAGTGGCTGCTGGCCTGACAAGGCTCCTCCACCAGCAGGATGTGCTCTTGTTCCAGGTTTGGGTGAAGACAGCCAGGCAATGGGTGGTCTCGAGTTTCCCAGGCTGTCGATGGAAAGTGCACTCTGTCCCATCTCTGACCCAAAGCCTGCCACCTCCAGCAGGGCCTCATCCAGCACTCGGAGCAGATAACAGGCCACCCGAGGAGCGTGGCTGGTGCCCCAGGGGCTCTGTCAGCCAGTCCTCCCTCCTGCCAGCCCTGTGCACTGCCCCTGCAGGGCCACTGCTGGGGCACCGCTGCCCGGCGGCGGTCAGCCTGGGCCCCAAACCTGCCAGAGGATCACAGGGCACCTCCCAGGAGGGCCAGGAGAAAGAGCAGGCAGCTGCAGAGAGGCAACGTGTGCTGCAAGAGTGCACAGCGCGTGTTCTGTGCGTGCT